CCAATATTTTAGGAGTATACTGTATAGCAGCACATCAGATGTATTCCAATATTTTAGGTGTATACTGTATAGCAGCACATCAGATGTATTCCAATATTTTAGGAGTATACTGTATAGCAGCACATCAGATGTATTCCAATATTTTAGGTGTATACTGTATAGCAGCAGATCAGATGTATTTTGGGATTGCATACACTGAAAAATTTTTGGCTGCTATTTATTTGTGTCAGTCTCTTTTAACGTCTTATACGATGACTTCAGGTTTCGAACCCTACATTCTCGCCGCTTGTAAATAAGTACATTATTCATTTGTCAAAACGAAGTTAGTAATTTAGAAAAAAACAAAGACATAACGAGTGGGATCATTAAGCAATGTTACAATTCATACAATTATAATTTATATTCCATATTAACTAATTCTTTGAATTCAGTTCGAGGTAATGTAACTCTGACATGAATAATGATGTTTTTGATTATAGTTCGAGTCCCGTGTGATGTGTCTGTATACTCTGGATGATGACACTATGCTACTAGGATCACTGTATCACTTTGTTCATGCATACAGTACAAAGACTCAGTAAGTACCAATGAGGGACTGATCAGGTAACATGAAGCACTTGCATGAAATAATTAATGTTTTACAATTAAGTGTCTTTACTCCAAAAAGTCAGTGTTACTAAGGGTAAAGAGTAGTTTTGAAATCAGTGATCTATGAAAAGTTTTAACCCATTTGTATAGGCTTTCTTTAATATTTTTTATCTTAATATCTGATACTGTCAATGTACAATATATACATGTATATAAGTATATAACTGTGAGATAAGCGTGAACAATTTTTTATCGTTCTCTTACAGAAATGCAGCTTGTTTCCTTTATTTGTTAAACCAACAAAGTTTGAATCGAAACGTTATAATATCTTTGGCATATATATAATGTTATATATCAATGATAGAATCAAAAGGAGAAACGTTTTACTTAAACCTATAAGAAATTGGCGATTATTCGAAATAGTTTAATTATCTTACTGTTAATAAATAAATGGTTAGTGTTACATTTTGTGTACAAGATAGAGTAGAACTGCCTTGAAAATAAATGGTAAACTTGGTTTCAGTAGTTAAATTAAAACTTAAGTTATAATGATTCAGTTTTTGGGATTCGTGATTTGATATGATTCCTCAATGCAACCTACACTGAAACTGTAATATATAGTACGTATATTATTGGCACATTACGGCTGTTTTACGCCATCTATTAACAGCTTTTCGTGCAATAGTTAGAGATGGACTTTAGTTTATATTTAGCAATGTAGATGGCGGTAATGCACAGTGTAGCTCAACCCAACTACAGTACCACTCTGTCGAGACATATATCCGTATATTACATCTTTATTATTACAAACTGGATATTTTGGAATGAATGTTTGAACATACACATTCTCACGTTAGTGTACAGGATTCTATAGATGTGGAGAGAACCAAGAAGTTAGAGTTTTTCAGTGGATTTGGTTGTTGAAAAATACTCTACCCTCCGGTGATTTTCACTCATCTATGGGAAGAATGTCTGGTCTCTACAAAATGAAATAAAAAATTCACAGGTATCAGAATGTTCCCCATTAAAGATTGTCTATTTTTCGCCTGACATGCATATGTTGGATGTTTGTTGAGTGTTCTTCATGCGAGACCGTTAAATATCTTGAGTTTCTATAGACAGAAATATTAACAAGAGTTACATTTCTGAAATAAGTTGATCATCTGCAAATTCCTTACAGATTACTACCGTTGACGGAGTAATTAGCTTTTGCTGATAATAATGAATGTTGTTTAGGCTTAACTCATGGTGAGAATTATCTGACTTTAAGTTCACTTATAGTTTCTAAATTTGTGTGGCCATTAACTAAAGTACGTTACTTTTTTAGCTTTACTGCTCATGATATTCTGCGGATGTTGTTCACTTAGGGCAAAATAAGCTATCTATACTATGTTCACCGCGTGGAAGCGAAAACCCCGGCTTTTAGCGTTGTACATCCGTAAAATTACCGCTGACCTACCTGGGAAATATATTTTTCTCTTTGTAATTAAGGGTTGGTAACTATCAGCTACACTAATAACAATGCTTTGTAAACTGCAAGTTAATATTAGCATTTTTGTCAACAATTTTATACAAATATGTTCTGTAATTTCACCAATAAAGTACTTTTTGTCGTTTGTTTGTAATTAAATGCAAAGCTACACGATGAGCTATCTGTGCTTTACCCACCACGGGTATCAAAAACTGATTTTTAGCGTTATAAGCCTTCAGACTTACCGCTGTACCACTGGGGGACTTTTTTATCGTGTGTATTCCTAAGTATCATTATTTTCAAGATGAGAATGAATAATAAAAACCCAAACCAGCTAATCTTTCGATTTAATTTTTTGAGATAAGTTATTTTGTTGATTAATGGGGTAAAATAAAATATTATTCTTAAGAATCTAATTATTAAAGTTCTAATATTTGGTCTTATGTTATTTTTGTTTTTCCAGATTATGTACACCTATAATTAGATGTTACTGCTATTACACATACATAATACATATTGTATCACAATTATTCGTTCAATTTTCATTAGACAACAGGATGAATGACAGTACCGAAACTTTGCACAGTTATAATTAACAGTATCGAGTTAGAGCTACAGTTACACCCTCAACTCTTTTTAAGTGCAGCAAAAGATCATAGTGGCGCACAGCACACTACACTTTCAAACTTGGCATATAAAGAAAGAAAGAAAGAAAAATTCGTGGTAGGGATTTAGTTTTAACAGGAAAGACACTTTCCAAAACTGGAATGTTCAGGGATATGATTATCTTCCGTTGCACAGACCACAGAGGATTATACACTTCGTTCTGTTCTAGGTGGACGCCATGTTTGTTATTGACGCGACCGTGTTGCTACCTTGTGACAAAAAAACTCGATACATTTAATTATAACCACGCAAATTTCGAATTTGACACGAGTTAACGTTGAAGTCAATCTCATTTTCTAATAAAGTTTTTGAAGAAGTGAATAAAATGAACAAGCTTAGAATTTATAGCGAATGTCTTCAAAAACAAAAAAAGAAATATTATGTCAAATTAGCTCGATAGATGGCAGTGCTCTTGGCACTCTATACTTTAAGAGTTACCAGTTCTTTTTAATTAATTAAAATATTTCTTCAGAAAAACTAAAACGAATTCGACTCAAACTTAACAATGTATAATGTTAACTATACACCATACGTTTTATAAAATTAAATTGTTAATATAATATAGTTTTCCAACAGTACATAAAGCTTATAGCAATATTTGAGTAAAAGTACTATGTACGTGCGCTCCGGAGTAAGTAGGTGGGTGATATATTATAACTCTTCATGTTATTATTATTTTAAGAAAAATTTTAAGGTTGTCTTCTAAATTGAATTTCGTAAAGATGACTAAGTATAATTGTCGAATTTCATCAGAATTGAGAGTTTTTCATTACGAGCTTTCGCTCCATTTTCAACTGTTTTGATCTTTTACAGCAAATTGATTTGGGAAATCCGATTAAATGACTCTGTACTAAGTCTGTGTTCTCATGAAGAAGAGGGAATGAAAAAAGTGTACGCTGGTTTAGCTGATGGCACTCTAGCGGTCATTGAGGTAACCTATTTGATAAAGTGGCTTTTTTGTATGTCTTTGTGTTTGTCCATGACAAAAAAGTTTCAATTTTCCTATATTTGGTCGCAGTTAGAAACATTCAGATCTTCTACAACCCCTTACAACATAAATTTTCTCAATGTTACAAGTTTGACAGCTATTTGCAACTGTAATATGTCGAGCTGAATCAACAACAAGAGCCGCGGAGTGTTACGCTACCAAACGATAAAGTTTCAATGAACTAGCACATAGCGCGTGCAGAAACAGTATTAGGCGATTTTACATTGAACTTTTGATTAGGCTAAAGTGTATTATTGTTAGGTACTGGTAAGGCTGTGGCGATCGAATATCAGTCGTTGTCATGGTTAGTTGCCAATACGATAAATAAACCCATAGCTAATTAATTACAAACTAATTTGGTTTTTATATCCGGTATTATCTGTTAATATACGTGGGAAGTTCTGAGAAAGACTGTTTGTAGTGGTTAGACTTCCATACTGGGTCTTCTTGACAGAGAGGCTGGGTTGCTCTCTCCCCATTCTCTGTCTGCTCCATTAAGACCTGAATCAACTAACTAATATGAATACATTTAAAAGAAATATCCGGGTTTTACTGATTTCTATGCTAGGTTAAATGAGTGAGTTATTGGTTAGGTAGATGTAGAAAATTGTTTTTATCTTTATTTTGATCGTGTGTGATTCATATTCCAATATTTTCGTATTATTTCATTTTATTGTATCCTATAATCTTCTCTGACATGATGGGCTATTGCAGATAGATCAGTATTACAAAGTGTTTGTCTGTTATGTTTCCGAATTCTAACTTGTTTGTACAGAGAGCTCAGTCTGTTATACTAAAATAATCTTATATATACAAATCAGCAAGTCACATGACAACCGCAATTGGTATAAATTCGCGGTGGAACGGCACGTATAAAATTTTTTGACATTATTTGGTGTTCGTAGGTGTTTTCGTGTGATGCCACTGATAAATTGATACAATAAAGGGTACGTACAGCTCTTCCCGACGCAAAATATTCATACACTCAGATCATAAATATATGCTCAAATCTGGGATTTCGAATTTCTAGTATTGATATCAGGCAGGAGGAAGCACTGCCTATACAGGAATGATTCGGATTATTCATCGAAAGGGTATTTTAAATATTTCCTCAATAGGTCATCAGAACTTTACAATACTATACAGTGTTTTCTTTTATAACAATATCTATGTAATGACTAAGTCACGAGTTCTGGGAATGTCTGTGAATATCATAGCAAAAAGTTTGAATTTCTTGTTCTTCTTTCTGCTCCTTTTTGTTATTACACGATAACTCAAAAACCAAAACAATGGTGTCAACCGGTGTATCTACTTTTATCAGTATTAATAATAACCAGTAGTAATTAAAAAATCTAATTCTAGTGTAAACGATGTTATCATTACACCTTGAAGTTAGCTTTCTTACAGAAATCTGATGTTCTTTTAAACGCTTAATTAAGTACAGGGTGAAACAGGAATTACCAGCCAATAATTGATAAACAATAAATATTACAGTTGGAACCTCATTTTATTTAGAACTTGGTTATAAATACAACATTCTTATGTATATTGAAACACTGCATTAAAAAAAACAGGTAAAGAAAAAACTTTTCAAAAAAGAAATTAAATGTAGGGATGGCTAATATCAATCCTCCAAACACAATGCAAACAAGATAGTAGAGATGGCACTTGTGTCATCCCTACATAATAGCAGAATTAACGTATAGCAATATATATAACTATTCAATCACAATTGAGTTTAATTTATCTTATTTTTTGCTTAAAGTTCACATCTACAGTAATTTACTACCTAAAAGTCAGTATAAGCCTACAAATTACTACACTTGAAGATGACTGCTAACTTGCAAAAATATATACTTGTGTCCTCTAGTCTTACTATTCTCACCATTAAGTATGAAAAAAGATGATGCATCAACACTATCAATTCCCTTTACAATCATTAACACCTCAATGAGATCCCCTCTGACTCTCCTTGATCTCTCGTCCTAAATACTACACTTGAAGATGACTGCTAACTTGCAAAAATATATACTTGTGTCCTCTAGTCTTACTATTCTCACCATTAAGTATGAAAAAGATGATGCATCAACACTATCAATTCCCTTTACAATCATTAACACCTCAATGAGATCCCCTCTGACTCTCCTTGATCTCTCGTCCTATGACAGCCCCTCCATTCCAGGTACCATTCTAGTAACCCTTCCCTGAACCCTTTTCAACAATTCAATGTCCTTTCAAAGGTAGAGCCCAACACTTGTTTGCTTGTTTTTTTTATAATGCAGTGTTTCAATAGATATAGGAAGGTTGTATCTATCACCAAGTTCTAAATACAATGAGGTTCCAACTGTAATATTTATTGTTTACCAATTATTGGCTGGTAATTCCTGTTTCATCCTGTACTTAAGCTTTTTAAAGGAACACCACATTTCTGTAAAAAACGCTAACTTCAAATTCAAAGGGTAATTATAACATCGTTTACACTAGAATTATGATTTTAGTTTTTAATTACTACTAGTTAATAACACTTATGAAAGAGGATACTCCGTTTGAAACCATGCCGCCTCAGTGGAACTGGTTGTCACCATTGTTTTGGTTTTGGAGTTATCATGTGATAAAAAAGAAACAGAAGAAAGAAGAACATGAAATTCAGATTTTTTACTATGAAATTTCAAACAGTCCAAGAACTTGTGACTCGGTCATTGCATAGATATTTTTATAAAAGGAAACATTGTATAGTATTGTAAGGTTCTGATGACCTATTGAGGAGATATTTAAAATACCATTTCAATGAACAATTCGAGCAATCCCAATATAAATAGTGCTACCGCGTGCCTGATAAAAGCTTTTAGGATACCCTAAATTCGATGATTTTATTTCAGTTTGGAGTTGAGATACTAAAATTTTGAAGATCTAAATTAATCATTATTAAATGGATCTTATGATACTTTAAACTACGATATAGAGGCTATTAAGCAATATGTACATTTGTAATAGCTTCTTATAATAATACGAAAATGCTTTTACTCGAAACCTCGAGAAATGTGAACGGCCGCCTCAGTGGTTTGTTAACGCTTAATGCAAATTGAAAACGAAGTTTCTAGTTTATCGTCTCTTTGAAGTTTATATCCAGAGCCTCTGAGAGCTCATAACAATAATCGCAACAAGAGCTAACTCACTGCTGGCTTGTTAAATAAGAGCAATCTCAACTTCCATTGGAATGGTATTTCTATACAGAAGTCAAGAAGGGAGATTAATTCTTTGGAGGCGAATACAAAGTTAATTAATGAGTACAGAAAACTTGAACGTGTCCGTCCAGTTGTTCTGTAATGTAATGGATTGCTAATATAATGGATTCCTAATGTCTGAATGAACTTCAAGCTCCTTTGACATTCACCAAATCTGTATACCTTGTGTTGTTGGCGTAACATCTTCCATTAACATTTTTTTTTCAGCAAACATAGTAATATGCTTAAAAAAATGACAAAACAAATTGTTGACATTATTTACGCATCGTTTCGCTCTTACGTGAGGAATCAGTCGTAAAAATCAAGTTTTACAACCGTGAAGTTTTTTATATAATCTTATTCTTTTCAAATATATGGACTTTTTTTCCCCAAAGTTTTCTTTTTTCTACTCCACTTTACTAAAAACGCCAATCACTGTGTACCCTAAAGTACAATTCATTATGTTGAACACAGTAGGATGTCTGGCCAGTACTGATTTATCATGCCTTAATGATTTATGCGTTCCCGGCAGACATACATAGTGGTTTTATTATTATTAAACACAAATCTTTAAAGCTCTATTATAAATCACTCTTTATAGTCAGGCTAGTTTTATAATTTGAATATGACGTAGATTAATGATGGATTTGTACATCGAGCTGATGGTATCTTCATGTGTATGGAACTCGTGCGACACAGCCAGTTAACGGCTTTTGTATGCTGTATGTTTATTAGCCACTTCTTTTTTGACACTTATTAGATATTTTAGGTAACTCTTCAGAGGGATACAAAGTGTTACTCTAATTAGAAACATCTTCATTCAGAATCTAGTAAATGTAAGTTCAGGCCTAATTGTTTCATCTTGGGTTTCAAAATGTATTGAATTTATTACGATGTAAAAAAAACTAATAACGGAGAATTATTAACCGAAAACAAAATAATAGCAAGCACAGCAGAGTCACCATGTTGAATCTAAGTGAATGTAGTTACTTTTGTGTGAACATTGTTTCACCAAGGATATTATATGGCTGACAACGTTTAGGATATTGTATGGCTGACAACGTTTAGGAATCTGTTTGAATGAGACTTTTGGAAAAGTAATATTTTAGTGCGCGGTAAAGTATTGCGAGAGCCAAAGACTGTCCTTTCTAATGGGATCTGGGACGTGTTCCCCCTGACATTATTTTATTCAATCAAGCAAAATGGTGCAATCAGATGCATTTCGTAGATCAATCGGTCAAACAAACGCAATACATCATAGAATGGTGATACTTTGACTAAAATGTGCGATTTTTCTACTAATGCGCGTGAGTGTGAGAATAGGCCCAGTTTCGTGAGTCTTACTCTCAACGTATTGAATTTATTACTTTATCAGCTAGTACTACCAGTATACATCGTTATTCCAATGTCACTACGTGTTGTACCAAGTACCTCCGATGTTTTGTTTGAGATGGCGGTTTTTCTTTTTTCCATATTTCCACCATAAAAACAGCAAAAGAAAGAAATGCAGAGTGACACTAATACTAGAGTTCGCCAAATGCGTTTTCTTTTGTATAAAATAAAAGATAGAAAATCATGCCATGTTTCGTATATAACTCCACACAGACAAAGATTGTCATGGCAACATCGTAATCGTAGGTTTTTTTTCAACTCTAAAGTGCAGCTGGAGATGATTTTTAAATATTTATAAAAAAAAAGTTTTGAAAAAAGTAAAGGATC